GAATGATGTTATTATACTTAATTCGAGTAGAAAATCTACAAATAATTTTTAGGGATAAGGCAAAGTTCATTTTTCTTATGCATGGTAATTCCAGGCTTAACATCCGTGTCAATGTCCTCTTTTTTCATCCCACAAGGTAACTCCCAATCAAATGCATAAAGAAGATTTGATAATGCAAGTTCCATGGATGCAACTCCAAGTGCTATCCCTGGGCATCCTCTTCTTCCAGCTCCAAATGGAATATAATCAAAGTCATGGCCCTTAAAATCAATATTGCTATTCAAGAATCTTTCAGCTATAAATTGTTCTGAATTTTCCCATATTTCAGGATCCCTTAGTATAGCCCATGAATTAACATGAATTATGGTTCCCGGCTGAATTTCATACTGTTCTAGTGTGGATTTTTCCATTGATTCTCTTGGCAGTAGGACTGGAACTGGTGGGTACAATCTAAAAGACTCCTTTATCACTGCTTTGAAATAGGGAAGATTTTGGATATCATCTTCAGTCACAATATTGCTTTTCTTTCCAACTGATTTTCTGATTTCTTCTTGGACTTTCTTCATAGCTTTTGGATTCTTCATGAGGGCTGTCATTGTCCATACTACTGCAGCTGCGCTAGTGTCTGATCCTGCTAGTAACACATTCTACAAAGAAATTGACAGGGAAAGAAAATAAAAGTTGTCAATTAATGAGGAAGCCTCAAGGAAATACAGACCACATTTAATTTGTGCTACCGTAAGTTATTCATGTCACTCTATTTAAGCTAATCTCAATGCAATTTTATATTATATAAAACAAAAGTTTCATAAGAATAACAAATGACAAGGAAAAAGTGTCTTTAGCAATAAAAATTCTCTATATTTTCTACTAGCATGGCATCATATCAATCTCCAACAAAATCAAAAGACTCTAACAATCATTACACCTAATTAAAGTAAACGTACTAACATCAGCGTGACCGGTTAATTTTAGTGAATCCTCACAATATATACGTATATATATAGGTAGGTTTAAGACATAGGAAATTACCATGACAAGTGCTTTTATATCCTCCAAAGTGAGATCAATTGGTGTTGATTTCTCTTTCTTCAATTGGAGCAGAATATCAAGAATATCTCCTTCCATGGATTTTGGCCTATTGGGATTAAGATGCTGCTCAATGAGTTCTTTATAAAACTCATCCAAATCATTGAAAATCTTCTCAAGTCGAGCTGTAACTCCAGTAAGTTTATCAATCCAGCTTAAAGAAGGGAAAAAATCAGACACAAAGAAACTAGCCATCATTGCTCCAGATTCTTCTAAAAGAAAATTGAATCTCTTCCTTTCAAAGTATCATATTGATGCAAATTTCCAATGAATGGAAGCCCTATAGGACCTGGTAGCAGATTAGTTTTTCCACCCTTTTTGGCTTTAAGAAGAAGGAAAATAAGAATGATAGGAAAGGCTGCAAAGATTAGAAAGAGTATCATTTTGTTAATTTTTCCCTCAACCTCTGCAAACCACTGATCTTTTTCTTTGATTCTTTTCAATTACAACAAGAATCTCTAAAACATATTAAGGTTATACGGATCTTGATGTAACTGATATCCGACTGACATATAGGCCATGACGGTGACGTAGAAAAATCATAGGCTCATAATTAAATCTTGAGAATGACCATTTTCCCCTAGCAATCAATACTTTGCAGGTTTTCAAGATATTTGTCTCGTCAGCATACTAACTATAGCGTAATGAATAAATATCTTGTAGGGAGCGCATGTGATTCTCAATTATTGGTAAATTCTAATTTTGATATTTGTCATATGTTATTAAGTACAGTTTGTGGGACCATCTAATAAAAAGAAAGAAAGAAAATGATGACAACAAGTTGCAATAATGACGTGGGCGGCTGAAAAAAAAAGTTTGACAACTTACGAAGTAAATTGCATATGCAAGCATTTTGATTGGCTGAAAGATTTGGCAAGTTTTGCTATAAATAGCAGGCTTCGTTCTTCATTTTATACACATCTAAAACAAGAGAGAAATATTAGAGCTCTGAGAGTAAAATAGTCTGTGAGAAAATAGAGTGGAGTAATATAGTGGTGAGATATTTAAAATAAAGAGTGTTATTTCTTTTGAGTCGTAGTAGTCTTTTGACACTACAAAGTTGTAATATTATAGTAGTATTATATTACTCCTCTCGGGTATTGTATTTTACCCCGTTAACAGATTTGGTGTCATTATTACTCTCTTGTGTTATTATTATTTATTGTGGATATTATTCCTGGGCGAGATATTTTTTTTTCCAACAATGTGGTATCAGAGCCATGGCGAATAATGATCTGCTGTCTTTTCAGTACCATCGTCTCACAAAAGATAATTATGAGAAATGTTGTCTACGTATGAAAGCCATTTTTGGCTCTCAAGATGTGGGGAAAATCGTAGACAAAGGGTATGCAAAACCCGATAATGAGGAAGCTCTGCTCAAAATGAAAAAGATGTCTTGACAAAGACAAGAAAGAAGGATCAACAAGCCCCCACGCTCATCCACCAATATTTGGATGATACCCTGCTTGAGAATGTGACATATGCTACCACCTCAAAGGAAGCGTGGGAGATTTTACAAAATTCTCTCCAAGGAAGTTGACAAGGTGAGGAAGGTAAAACTTCAAACTCTAAGGGCTGATTTTGAAGTTTTAAATATGAAAGAATCTGAATACATTTCGGATTATTGTTCAAAAGTGAAGGCTGTTGTAAATCAATTGAGAAGATACGGGGAGGACATAGAAGATGTCTGTGTGGTAGAAAAGATCTTTCGCACTTTAACACCTAAATTCGATTTTGTAGTGTGTGTTATTGAAGAGACTAAAGATTTAGACTCTATGATGGTTGAGAAATTGGAGGGTTCTTTATAGGCCCACGAAGAAAAGATCAAAAGGAGACAAAAAGTGTCATTGGAGCAATTTCTTAAAACTTAGGCATCCTTTAAGGATTATGGAGGTGAAAACAGCTATCGGGGGAATGGACGAGGACGAGGCCGTGACAGTCATGGAAGAGGAAGAAGTAATGGTAACAACTTCAACAATGAAGTTAAAATCCACCAAACATTCAGAGGTCGTGGTCGTGGACAAAGAGGAGGAAGAGCACGTGGCTATTGCCAAGAAAATAATGGACAAAGGTATGACAAATCAAAAATTGAGTGTTATAATTATCATAAATTTGGCCATTGCTCTTGGGAATGTCATAGTAATGTTGAAGAGAAAGCTAACCTTGTTGACGACAAGAAAGAAGAAGATGAGTCAACATTGTTGTTGGCACTCAAAGACGAAGATAGGGATTATTGTAGCTCGTGGTATTTGGACAATGGAGCAAGCAATCATATGTGGATGCAAAGAAAAATTTGTGGAGATCAATAAAACGGTGAGAGGTAATGTGTCATTTGGAGATACATCAAAGATTCAAATAGAATGGATATATACGATTCTGATCTGCTATAAAAATGGTGACCATAAGTTAATTCAAGATGTTTATTATGTCCCAAAATTAAAAAGTAATATTTTGAGTTTGGGCCAATTTCTTGAAAAGGAATATGACATCCACATAAAAAATATGCATCTTTGGCTTAGAGATTCAAATGAAATTCTAATTGCTAAAGTGCATATGGCAAATAATAGATTATTTTCCCTGAATCTTAAGACAATTGATGCAAAGTGTTTGAAAGCTAATATGCAAGATGAATCATGGTGTTGGCACATGCGATTTAGACAGTTGAATTTTGAAGCGCTCAAATTAATGGTAGAAAAGAACATGGTGTATTGGATACCATCAATCAATCATCCCAATCAGTTGTGTGAAGCTTATCTTCTTGGAAAACATGTAAGGAGGATTTTTCCAAAGGAGGCCATGTCAAGATCAACCAAACCGCTCCAGCTTGTTCACACCGATGTGTGTGGGCTAATCAATCCACCTTCCTTTGGTAAAAGTAAATACTTTCTGCTCTTCATTGATGACTTTAGTAGAAAGACTTGGGTTTATTTCTTAAACCAAAAATCTGAAGTTTTTGTTGCTTTTAAAAATTTTAAAATACTTGTGAAAAAAGAAAGTAGCTATAAAATTAAAGCTTTAAGGTCTGATAGAGAAGGCGAATTCACTTCAAAAGAATTTAATGACTTATGTCAGTCTCATGAAATTCGTCGCCCTTTAACGGTACCTTATTCACCCCAACAAAATGGAGTTGCAGAGAGAAAGAATCGAACGATTCTTAATATGGATAGATGTATGTTGAAAGCTAAAAGTATGCCTAAGGAATTTTGGGCCGAAGCTATTTCTTGTGCAGTTTATTTGAACAACAAGTCTCCAACAAGAAATGTTAGAGATCAAACTCCTCAAAAAGCATGGAGTGGAAGAAAATCAAGTGTCAAGCACTTGAGAATATTTGGGAGCATAGCCTATGCTCATGTGCCACAACCAGGGAGAGCAAAGCTTGACGATCGAAGTTTCAAGCACGTATTTGTTGGCTATGATACGAGTTCAAAAGGTTACAAGTTATACAACCCAAGCAGCGACAAACTGGTAGTAAGTCGCAATGTTGAATTTGATGAAGAATTGACATGGAATTGGGAAGCTCGGGAAGAAACTTCATATAATTTTCTTCCATACTTTGGTGATGAAGAAGAACCAGAGAACGTAGAACCTATGCAGGATACAACTCCACCTCTTTCTCCAACAAATGTTGCATCTTCCTCTCCTCAAGAAAGTTCAAATGAACAGCCGCAAAGGACAAGGAGTATTCAAGAGCTCTATGAGGACACAAAAGAAGTTACTAATTTTGATTTTTTATATTGTCTCTTTGCTGACAATGAACCAATGAACTTTGATAAAGTTGTTACAAACAAAAGGTGGAGACAAGCCATGGAGGAGGAGATCGAGTTAATAAAGAAGAACAACACTTGGGAGTTACCAATTCTTCCCAAGGGTCATTGAGCAATTGGAGTAAAATGGATATACAAGACAAAAAATAATGTTGATGAGATGTGGAGAGATACAAGGCACGACTTGTGGCTAAAGGCTACAAGCAAAGATACAACATTGACTATGAAGAAGTCTATGCACCTGTTGCCCGCATGGAGATGATTCATTTGCTGATCTCTTTGGCAGCGCAAATGAAGTGAAAAATCCATCAACTTGATGTCAAGTTAGCCTTCTTGAATGGCTATCCTGAAGAAGAAGTCTATGTTGAACAACCATTGGGCTTCCTGGTAAAAAACCATGAAGATAAAGTGCTGAAGTTGAACAAAGCTTTATATGGATTGAAGCAAGCCCCACGAGTATGGAATAGTTACATCGACAAGTATTTTCAAGACAATGGGTTTACTCGTTGTCTCCATGAATATGCTCTTTATCTTAAAGTTCATACTAATGAAGATATATTGATTGTTTGTCTTTATGGTGATGATCTTATTTTCACGGGTAATAACCCAAGTTTGTTTGAAGCTTTTAAGAAACATATGTCCCGTGAGTTCGAGATGACAGACGTAGGGCTCATGTCATACTACCTGGGCCTAGAAGTGAAGCAGATGGATGATGGAATTTTTATCTCTCAAGAAAGCTATACAAAAGAGATATTGAAGAAGTTCAACATGCTCGATTGCAACCCCGTGAACACACCAATTGAGAGTGGGACAAAGTTGTCCAAGTTTGACGAAGGAGAAAAAGTGGATCCCATATTTTTCAAAAGTCTTGTGGGAAGTTTGAGGTACTTGACTTTTACCAGGCCAGATATACTCTTTGTAGTTGGAGTAGTAAACCGCTTCATGGAAGCTCCTACCTCCACTCATTTGAAAGTCACCAGAAGAATTCTTCGTTACCTAAAAGGTACGCTCGACTTTAAGCTATTTTATTCATTTTCTAATAATTTTAACCTTATGGGATATTGTGATAGTGATTATGCGGGAGATATTGATGATAGAAAAAACACAACTAAGTTTTGTGTTTTTCTTGGGTGATTGTGTTATTTCCTGGAGTTCAAAGAAATAATCAATTGTTACTCTCTCAACTTGTGAAGCTGAATATGTAGCAGCAACATCTTATACCTATCATGCTATTTGGCTGAGAAGATTGTTGAAGGAGCTCAATTTACCACAAATTGAAGCTATAGAGATTTGTATTGACAACAAATCCGCACAGGCACTTGCAAAGAATCCAGTGTATCATGATCGAAGCAAGCATATAGATACAAGGTATCACTTCATCAGAAATTCATTAGAGAATGCATTGTCAAGAAGGAAGTCGAGCTCAAGTATGTGAAATCTCATGATCAAGTTGCGGATACTTTTACCAAGCCTCTCAAATTTGAAGATTTTTAGAGGTTTAGATCAAGACTTGAAATGATGAGGAAAAATCAAAATTAAGGGGGAGATTTGCGGGACCCATCTAATAAAAAATAAATATAAATAAAGAAAGAAAATGATGACAACAAGTTGCAATAATGAAGTGGCGGCTGAAAAAAATGTTTGACACCTTGCAAAGCAAATTGCATATGCAAGCATTTTGATTGGCTGAAAATTTGGCAAGTTTTGCTATAAATAGCAGGCTTCGTTCTTCATTTTATACACACCAAAAACAAGAGAGAAATATTAGAGCTCTCAGAATGATCCACAGACTATGATTAATATTATGGTGAGATATTTAAAATAA